TATCTAATCTTGTTTCCATCTTAAGTAGACATGTGCTAAACAAGCATGCAGAGCACCCATTGTTTTCCTGGTATACCATGTGTAACCTTTAATATCTTTAAACCACTTTGGTATAAAACAGATGCAGCCCAAAAACTTGTAATCTTCTCCCCTCAGGCGAGGATAAGACAATATAAGTTATCTGCAGGTTTGCTTGCAATGTGTTATTTCTGGTTTTCATATAATGTGTTATTTAAAGCAGACATTGTAAATTCAATCGATTTTGGATGTTAGTATTAAAGCAAATGTTGTAACTTCGTGCAATTTTTGAAGATAACATTTATGCAAATAAATATGCAAAGAGGCTTGGTCTTTTATCCCCTGCCAAGTCAATAAGGTAGTTTTAAAAGACTGAAAGTCCCCATAGTGCTGCCAGTCAGGACTTTTCCCCCCCCTCTATGGAAGTGTATTTAACATTCCTAGCCCTGCACAGAGGGGAAAAATAAGGTCATAGCTGGGGAAAAAAATGTGTTGATCATAACTGATAATATGAAAATGAAGCAGTCAAGCAGGCTGTGGACAGCACAGGCCAGGTCTACTTACACTAAACCAAAGTTAGAAATGCAGTGATAGAAACATGAAAATTCTGGAACATGAGGGAAACAGAAGCCAGTTGTGGTCAGATTAATCCCTTAATACTGCTCTTGTTGCCTTGCTGCCCTGTGGGACAGGTGAGTGTCCTTTGTGCCAAATAGTGGGGGAGTAACACCAACAAACACAACAGAGAAAGGGCTGCCTAAAGCCTGGAGAGTGGAAAGCAAACAGAAAGTCTGCAGCTCCAGAATTTTCCAAGTTGAGAGTTTTTTGGCAAAGCACCTCCTGTAAATTGTGAATTTCAGTGTTACAGTGGTTTCTGCACAACTCTGAGAGTTCCTGGGGTGGTGGGGTGTTACTATTCTTATCTCCTGCTTTATTGCTACATTTTTACAATATTGAGATTATTCATCTGCCAGCTCGATTGCGTTTGTAGATTGTATTTGTAAAGGAAATTTTCACCTGAAACTTATTAAAAAGTTTGATATTAGAATTCAGTGGACAGTTGTGTGGAGCAAACACACAGGTTTGAGTACCATGTGCAAAGAATTCTGCAAATCTGAGTCATATCAGGTAGAGCAAGTGCCAGCCTTTAAGTACTCCTGAAGTTCTGTGAAAATTGAGTTTTAAGGCCCGGTATATTGCCCCCCAAAATGTGCTTGTTGAGCTCAATATTTTCCCAGTCAGGAAAAAACAGCTACCCAAATCAAAAAACAAGAGTGGTCTGTATTTTACCCTGTCTCTGTTGACTGCTTCACACATTCCTATAAAAAGCTGGAGGATTTCATGGCAGGAGCAGTATTTTATTCAGCAAGGCTGAAACTGAATAAGCAGGGGCTGGAAAATAACTCAGGAACCACTTCAACTAAAATTGCCACCAAGGCTTCTGTCACAAAGTTTCGTCCATGGCCTCACATAATTCCAGACTAATTCTGTGGCTGAGCAAACTGCTCTATGGTACAATTTCATCAGATATTCCAAGAACAAAAAATGTATGAACATTCCAAACTGTTTCAAATCCTCAAAGTTTTAAAAACAGGTGTGTGTTAGGGCAAGGGAGATGGGCTTTGTTATGTAACTTTCAACATTGGTAATTCTTGCTCACTATTTTGTCTCAAAGCTGATGAACAGAGAAGTTCAGTTTACATTGAATCAGGGTTCACACCTGAGATCAGAGCAGCTAAAACTCAAGATTCACTCTGTCCTCTGGGTCTTTGTAAGCTTTAACCAAATACTGCAGATGCACACTGGGGCTGAAAAGGAGACACAGGCACTTTGGACTTGACAGTTATTTTTACGAGAATGGGATAATTACATTGACAGAACAGAGAAAATGGGCCATGCACAAATTAACAAACAAAATTAACTGCATGTGTAATTAAACACAAACATAAGAACAGCCCAGTTTTAAAGGTTGCCTATGAAACTGCATCAGAGTTGGTGCAAAGGGCCCGAATTTACTGCTGGTTGTTCACTCCCAGCGTAGCTGAAGCTGCATTTCAAATCTGAGGTAAACTTGTGAAGTCGAGTGAATGTATCTGCTTGTACCACACACAGTGAGACATCCACTCGTGTTGGCTGGAGCTTCTGCAGAGCTCTAGAGCCTGGGAATCTCTAGTGTTCCACTAATTGTACTTGTTGCAGGCTAAATTTAGCTGGAGCCTGTCTGCTCCTGCTGCAATAATTCAAATAGACCTCAGAGATGCCTCCAGATGGAGCCCATTGTAGTGACTGCAGCACCTCATCCAAGTCACCCTCTTTAATCAATAATATGCTTTGTTTACTTCCACTTTTCTTAAAAAGAAAAAAAGAAAAAAATCTTCATTCTTTTAAATTACTCCCTAAAAAAATGCACCTGAAAACCAGCTTTTCATCACGGAGTTCTTGGACTGCTTTTCCCAAATTTGCCCACGCTTGGGGCACAGGAGTAATTTGTCTGATGCTGCAGAGAGAGACCTTGAAAACTCTGCCAGAAGTTTTGGGTTTTTTAGAAGTTTTTTCCAGTTATTTAATTTTGAAACACTGAAAAAAGCCACTATTCATATTTGAAATCTATTGTCAGTCTGTGCTTCCCTCCCAGGAGAGGGCAAGCAGAAGGCATCATGAAACCCTCATAGGCATTCCAGCCTTTTGCTCAGATACACAAGTTTTTCCTTAGTACCTAACAAAATTATCTGTATTTCTCTTCCTAGAGGTTCCTGCCTGGCTTGTTCTGAAGGGGACTGAAGCAAGAGGAGGTCTGAACTTGGCAGCACAGCTCAGTTAAGGTAAAGAAATCCACAAAATTCCATTTGCCTGGTAAAACTGCAGTGAGAATAATTAATTTCTCACAGAAATTACACAGTGACATGGCTTGGCTTTACAAACTTGGTGCTCTGTCTGCTTTTTACTCACATTTGAACAATGTCAATACATGACAGAGAATAATTCTATATGTATTAAATACATCTGATATTTTCCTTTGTGTCCAGTGTACATTTTGCTTCCAAAGGCAGGAAAACAGGTTATAAAATTGTCTTCATTAGGCTTCTCTGCAATGCATCAGCCTCCTGCAAATGACACATTTATTTGCATTTTGTTCATTTGAAAGCTGAGGTTTGGAATGAATGGACATATCTGAGGTGAGGCACGGAGCTGACACAGCCTGCACTAACGAAGTTTGCAATTTAAGGTGAGAATTAAGGTTTTTCTTAGGCTGTGGGCATCTTTTAAAAGGCCCAGATTGGGCTTCTCTTATCTGTTCAAGAGATTTACTTGGGAAAGTCATTATTTTTCTTCTGCTCACTGCCTAGAAAGATTCAAGGTCATCATCAGCAGAAGACTGAGGTTTTATGGACATCAGCCTGAGCTGGGATCATTGCAGGACACAGCAATGTAAAACTGGACACAGTAAAGAGCTTGGAGGAGCTAAATTTTGTTCTGAATTTCCCAGAAATACAAACAGAATAGTTCTGTGTCAGATTAACTGTTTCTTGGCAGTACAGAGGAATGTGGTACATCAGGGTTTGGACCACAGGAGAATGTTCTGCCAGGATGAAAGTGCTGTTTCTGCTTCACTCAGGGCTTGAGTCCACGTGTGTGTTGAAGAGAAATGAGGCTGCAATACCCATTTTGAGGTGTGTAAATTTGACATGTAATGCTAGCAGCCATTCTGGACAGTAAGGACTCCTTCTGGCAGAGGCAAAGACAAGCTGTGATTTGAAGACTCCTCTGGAGCATTATTTCTGTTTCAAAAGGTATCACAGAAACCAATTCACTAATGCTGTGGATTCTGCTTAACAGTGGGTACATGTTCACTTACATAATACTATTCTTCTGAAAAACTCAAATTCATTCATTCATTAAGCCTTTTGGCTCTCCTAGGAACTATTTACTATCTAAACAGTTTGCAAGACCAACAGTCTAAAAGGACAGTTCTCAATGGCTTTTCCAGTCATAAGGGCTGTTCTAGAAATCTCAAGGAGATTTCAAAAATACCATGCCCAGTTCTGACTGTGAGACCCTATTACCTCAAAACACCTCCCCTAAAGTCTGTCTGCATGTTTATTTCTGCCATTTAAGAGACTTTAAAATCCCTTCCCCTTTATTCTGGGCAGCAGTTTTACCATGGGAGCTGACAGGCACAGAGAGGGCAAGGACACAGCATACCTGGGTTATTACAGTTGGTTTAAAACTCTAACACAATGCAGCTCCCTATCCAGCAATCAAAGGTACCAGTGGATACATCATCATCCCACCTTGCCCCAGCCCCCTTATTGTGTCTGTGTGATTATATCTCACAGCATGTCATTATCTCCTTGGTGCAGCCCTCTGAGGAAACAATAAACCCTCCTTGCCCTTCTGCAGAAAGGAGTTAACAAACCTTTCCACCGACCAGGCAGAACGGTGATGGCTCTTTAAAAAAGTTACAGTTGCAGACTTTCCATTACAAAACGTGTGTATATATTTTAACTGCATTATACGGATTTTTAGACTCAGCAGGAGCTGCCTGCTCTTTAACTTTCAGCATCTGTCGCTATTTAGGTAAAAAACGCTCTCCAAATGGAGCAGAAATTGGGGAGCACTGATCTTTCTGCAGTTAATTATGATTAGTGCTGGTAAACAGGTGCACCCCAAACCTGCTATGGTATGACAGGTGAATTGTACAAGAAATCAGGTTTAATTCAACCTGTTTCACGTAGTGGTAGTGAGATAAAAGCAGAAGAGCTCTGGAGCAGCTTAACCCTGTTAGGACACTCCTCACGTGTTGATGATGCACGTTTATAAAGAGGCTTTCTAGGGGCTGAGTTGGTGATACAAATGTAACTGCATTTGTAATTTTCCTGCCTCCGTGGTACTACGTAGTTTGTGACTGAATTAATTATTATCTTTCAATTTGTAACGCTCTCACAACAGAAGAAATGTAAGAACAGGCAAGTGAAGACGTTGTGCATACAAAGAAAATAAATTTTTATGCCACTGCAGACTTAAACAGCATGTGAAACCTAAGAATCCAAGCACAGAAAGGTAGGATCATGCATATTAATGGTCTTAGAATGCAGAAAATTATGGTGAAGCATGAAGAACTGGACAGTTATGCATTATTTGCATCTTGAAAATCTCTATATAAATCTGTAAAATTGTGTTCTGAAGTGATGTACATCTGTTTAGATTATTTTCATCAGTTTAATATTGACTAAACCACCTAAAACCATCCTGGAGTTAATATTTTCTGTGCTCAGTTTTGCCTTTTGTTCCTTTCTTGAAATGGATTCTTCAGAAGGGATATTTGAATTGAAATTATTGTGGGTTTTAAAGCCTCTACTCATAGCAGTGTGCAAAGAAACACATGATGTCCCATTCCCATATGTGCTGTTAATGGAAAGGGAATGTGTAAAAAAGGGGTCTTGTGGTGTCCAAAGACACAAACTGAAATGAATCCATAAAATCCTGAGCAGTTTGAGGCAACCTGGAGAAGGATCCATGCAGCAATAGCTGCTCTCTGTGGTGATAAATTCTGACTCTCTAGAAAGAAAAACAGTGGGGGAAAAAATATGTGTTAATAGTCATCTAGACAGAGATATTTTCAGGAAAAAGACACGACCCAGTAATGTACAGAATAGAGAAAACCAGAGAGGATTATTATCATAAAATCATCAGAAAAACGTTGTGTTCATTATACAGTATGGATATATATAATAAGGAATTAAATAGAAAACTATGGAAATAAAAATATTATTTTAATCATTTACATTTGCATCTTGCTGCAAAATCACCTAATATTTTTTAACTGCTTACAATATGTTAAAAATACCCCCATGTAATGTCAGTGCTATTGAAAAGCAGACCATAGACTTTCACTCCAATTGCATGCCTGACTAAGTCACAAGTTAAAAAAAAAATTGATAAAAGAGAGATCAGAATCTGGCCCAAACCACAGTTCTTGGGGGGGGCAAAGCCATAGATCTATGTTTACAATATTCAGCAATAAAATTTACAGCCCTGTTATCTGCCAGCTATGCAAAAACAAACACTTGTGCAGGAGGAGTGTGCCACATGTTTATATATAAACAAATGGCCTAATCCTGCCTTAGGGCACTGCAGGGCTGGAGCACCCGAGCCCAGGGAGACAGCACCGGCTCAGGGAATGCAGCCAGGGCAGGAGGAGGGTGATTTGTCTCAACTACCCGGGGGTAACACAAGGTGAAGTGCCAGTCAAAGCTAAAGTTCGTATTTATGAGCAGGCTGTTGATAGGCACAGATCAGAGCACAGTGGACAAGCAGAGCTCAGAAAGCTGAGCTGGCCCAGAGCATCCACGTGGGAATTCTGGAGAGCTCCGTAACCCTTGCACAGCCAGTGCATCCATACGGGGTGACATTTGCTCTGGGTCCCTTCCTCACTACTGATGTGCCACACTCTGTGCCACATTCCATTAATGAGGGGAGGGAAAGCCACTTCAGGAATGTTGCTCTGATCTGGTGGATGCTCTCTCTGTGATACCCAAACAACATAAACAGGCATAGGTCATAAAAACTTATATTTTTCTCATACTCCTCTGAAAAGCTGTTTCAGGTCATTCATTAAAGGTGGAACAGCATTTATACTCCACACAGTATCCTTAAACTGCATTTTTAAACATAATAGATAATTCTTCCAGTTTCATTTTCCAGTCACATCCAGTGAGTTTGACAATGAAATTTAAATTAAATATTTACTGGCTGACAAGAAGTTTTTCTTTGGCTTGTCTGCTACGGAAGAAACTCAGTCAAGTGAATGTTCTAGAAAGCAGTTTGTGAAAGCTTAAAAGACTCTGAGTCTCAGAGGAGGCTGTCTCTGAGATGAATTTCGAGATTTGGTGTTGGTCAGGTGTCCATTCTGCTACCCAACAAGCTGTGAGGGGACAGGGTGACAACAGAGAACTAGGAAGTTGAATCCTTTCTGCAGAGGGGATTTGCTTCCTGAGCTGACCCAAGTGGTTACACCTAGGAGGAGGCAGCCAGGAGGCCGTTGAAACCTTCTGATTGAAAGCCAAATTTTGTTATGAAAATTATCCCTTTGGTAGAAGTTATCAGACAGGCCAAGGTAATCTAGGCCTTAATCAAAACAGTAGTTCGTTGCGCTGAGGTATCTCAATTATTTTCACTGCTATAAAAAAAGTGAGTCATTTGAGTCATTACCTCTCCAAGATATTGTCCCCTTTCAACAAGGTACACTGGATTGCTGTAAAGCAAGAGATAATTTTCTTCTGTGGTAAAGCTTAATGGCTTTTCTTGATTGAGTTTGGGGTGGGAGGTTTTCGGTGTTCTTTGGTGGTGGTGGCCTTTTTACCTCATATTGTTGACATCCTTCACGTGGCAACATAAAGGACACATCACCAGTAGCACTGAAAGCTTTTTTTTATCCAATAGTACCAAAGAGACCTTTACCCAAAAGGCAGGACTAAAAAGGAGAAAAATGAATCATGAATTGTACTTACAACGAGCTTGCAAAGCTCATTTTCTACAGCAGTGGCTCTGCTTAAAATGGGGTCATCATATCAACTCCATATTGTAAAATTAAGTCTTCAGTAAAAAGAAAAAGTGCTTTTTTTATTGTGGTTTTGCTCTTAGGATTGCTTTTTCTGCCTTGATCAGCATGGTTTTGTAGGGGACTGACTCCTTCAAGGCAAATCAAAACTAGCCCAATGTGTGTCTGAATTTCCAAAGTACTGATGAATCCTCTTCAATTTGTTTTAGCCCAGTCAGTCTTTGGAACTTCCTTTCCTCCACCATCAGTTACAGGAGGGCACAGAGGGACAAATCTAAAGGTAAAGTCAATAAGAATTTTACTTTGAAAGATTCTAAGTAGAATAGACTTCTAAGTATAATAGAAATGACAGACATGTCAACAATTGCTAAACAGTTGGGGGTTTTCTAACACATTATTCAATGTGGGTAGGGCAGAAATAGGTCCATGACCACAAATGTTTGAGTTTTGTGTGGGAATGCTGAGAAAGACATTCATTTAAAATATAAATAAGTGAGTATTTCAGGACAGGTACGGTCTGACTTTCAAATGTTTAGACCTAAACAACAGATGTTGAGGTTGCTGCAGATCAGGCATAACGAGAAAAATCACTAATTGGTGACTTCCCTCTGATCCTTTGCACTCATATGCCTTAAACCCAAGTGTCTTGCTGGTTTTATTTTAACTCCTTTTGAAGTGAGGGAAACATATCCAGAGAAGTTATTACAAATAAATGCCACCTTTAATCTTCTTTTAGCCTTTCTTAAGCTTTTCTTCCTTCTGCCACGCATGGGAACAACTTATGGGAGCTGGAACACCGACTGTCCCTCAGCAATGAGTTTGGATAATTTACAAGGAGTAGCAGAGTAAGGACAATAAGGTACTAAAACAGAAGTATTTCAACAACAGGTTCTCCATCAAGACCACCTGTAAGCTTGCAATAAGTTGGCATCAAGTCTTCAATAGAGAGGAGATGTGTTATGCTCTATGATTTTAAAACAAAACAAAACATAAAATTAAAGAAACCGGGAATGATAGGGGAGAAAGACAATTGCTGAAAATCAAATGGTGGTGTGGTGGACTGGGATGGTAAGCAAAGGATGCAGGACAATGTGGACAGGGGAGATGTAAGGTGGAAGAGGGACCACATCCAGTGTATGCACTGAAGTAAGACACTGATCTTATAGGAAGATCCTAAATTGTGTTACTGATATAGTTGAGAAATTAAACACTTGTTACTTTTGAGGAAAATCAGACCTCAAAAATTCCAGTCAAGCCTAGCTGTTTTGCATAGACACTGGAATTCCAAGAGTGCAACTGTTTTTTCTAGATCTAATCTGTATTTGTGCAGATAGTTTTAACTACTTTCATCAGTCCTGCAACTCTCCTATGCACTGAATTCACTTCAAAGCCAAAAATTTGTGGAAGATTTAGGCTGAGTTACTTTTACAAACACACAAATCATATTTTATATATTTTTAGACATCACTTCAAGTGCTGCCTATTTAGGAACTGAAATAGGTGGTTAAACCTGTAAAATCTATTTAGGATGTGTTCATTTTTGCTGACCCTGTCGTGATGAAAAGCAATCCTTTTATTTTTGTTATTTTAATTATCTTCATTATCATTAATTTTAATCTCTCATTCATAGACACTGTACACTTAGTCATTCTCTGTTAGCAATTATAAACAGCAAGACCTTAGCTGCCTTAAAATTAAAATTGCTTCCTAGTTAGTGTTTATTGCACAGGAACAAAATGTTACATTTTATTATATTCTCAACAGGACCTGTGAGGCTCAGTTGGAGATAGGCAATAAACACTGCAGCATTCTCATAAATCACAATTTTGCATATAATTACTATAAGCATATAAAAGTAAAATTTCAGTTATTCCCCCGTTACCAGCCAGCTCTGGTGCAGGAATTGATTCAGCCTCCACTGCAGAGTCTCTACAACACCATTTGTTCTGGCAGCTCAGATTTCCCTCATTTCAATGCTGTGAACAGTTCATATCATTTTACATATTAAATCTGCTTATATTTTTTTCCATCTGACACTATGTGGTGAAGAAATTCCAGTCCCTCCCTTATGGCCTGGGTCACTCTTACTGTCCTTCATGGCATCCCCTCTGGAAAACCTCTTTTCCATAAGATTCCTATATACATTTTTCATCAGTTTGTTGTCCAGTCAGTATTTCTACTACAGCAAAGTGGCCTTACAGCTGCTGAGGTTGGGCTTAAGAATGGGGTATAACAACACTAGTGGGTGTTTATTTATTAATTGGACAAATGTGTATTTATGAAATGGACAAGTGTGTATTAATGAATAGGGTAAATGTATATTTATGAAATGGACAAGTGTATATTTAGGAATCGGGCAAATATGTATTTATGAAATGGACAAGTGTGTATTTATGAATTGGGCAACTGTGTCAATGGCAATAGAAAGACTCTGAAAGAGGTTCTCTTGTTCAAAGACTACCAATCTGGTCTTTGGTTATGTTTTGAGATCAAAAGCTTGGTAATTTTTTTCTCAGTAGAAAATATGAAGATTGAATATGAGAAACTAAAAAAAGAGCTGCTTAAGTTGTACTAAGATGAAGCAGTAAATTAATCCTGACACAGTTCATTCCAGGTTATGACAAGCAACTTTAAGGTGAAAGTCACAACTAACCTGAATTTGTCAAGATAAAAAGTCATGCCAAACCAGTCTAACTGCCTTCTCCTTGGCAGGGCACCGTCACCATCACAACAGCACAGCAGTGAGTGCCCAGTGAGGGCTGTGGGGACAGAGCAAACCTCGGAGTCTGGAGGTGGAAATGAGGGCACACAGGTAAGGTCTCACCTCTCACCTGAAACACAGTCTTCAGGCACTGTTCTTCAAAGGCTGAACTCTCAAAACAAATCATCTGTGTCTACTCTCATATATATATATACGTATATATGTGTGTGTGTGTGTATATATATATATTTATATGTATATATATGTAAATAAGAAGAGTAGCAAACACCTAGAATAGATTTTCAGGAAGGTTCTGGAATCTCTGTCACTGTAGTTTTAAAGCAAAGTCAGACCAAGAGATTACATATATGTGTGTGTATATGTCTCTACACACAAACACACATATATATGGAGATATATATAGATATATATATATATATAGCGAGAGATTAACAACAGTAGCCAATATCCTAGAGTAGATTTCAGGAAGGTTCTGGTATCTGTGCCACTGTAATTTCAAAACAAAGTCAGGCCAAGAGCTGATATATATATATATATGTGTGTGTGTGTGTGTGTGAGTGTGAATGTTTACAAACATAACACGAGTAGCCAGCACCTGGAGCGGATTTGCAGGGAGGTTCTGGTGTCTCTGTCACTGCAGTTTCAGAGCAGTGGGCTGGCAGTGCGGGTCAGTCCCTGAGCTGGGGACGAGGAGTGAGAGCCCCGGGGACACCGAGGCTGCAGGGCCGGCCGTGCCCCCCGAGCCGCCATCGGCCCGGCCGTGCCCTCAGCGCTTCGCCCTCAGCGCTGCCCCCTAAACCCCCTCGGCCCTTCCTGCCTTCCCTGCCCGCGGGCTGAGGAGCCGCCCGGGACCCCCAGAGCCGCCGGTTCCCCGTTGGGCAGCAGGACCGAGGGCAGTCCGTGTGTGTGCCGAGGTACAGAGCCAGCCCTGCCCCTCGCCGGGGTCCCGCTCCTCACGCCCGCCCAGCCGCTGTGCCCCAGGCAATGGCGCGGGCAGCGAACGAGGCTGTTCCCGCAGGGGGAAAGGAGCAAAGATGTTTGTGCCGCTGACACAACACCGGGCAGATCGCTCTGGGTATCCCCGAGCCGCCTCTGCCTTTCGCTGCTGCTCCTCCAGCAGTGCAGGTATTTCCTGGCAGGTGTGGGAAGCTCCCTCCAGGCGCTGTCCTTGCTCCCCTCCCAAACCCCCGTGGGATCGGGGAGCTCCCACGAGGAGAACTCCAACCCCAGCCAAACCTTCGGTGTTGCACCCACGCCAGGCACTCCAGGCTGTAGACTTGTACCAGTTTAACATTATCCCGTTCCTACAAAATTAATGAAGGGCTTGAATTATTCACTGTTCACTTTTAGAGAGCAAGAGTGAGCAAAAAAAAAAAAAAAAAAGCGGGGGCTTTGCTCTGAGGGAGTTTAGGGGGAGTTGAGCTGTGCTTTTCAGGTGCGGAGTTTTACATTCTTCTTAAACAAAAATGAGTATCTTTGCTTGTTAGAGCTCCAGGTTTGAATTTAGATTGAAAATCTTATGATGGCACCAAGTAGCTTCACAGGCAGCAGAGGCAGCTCTCACAGCCGAGAAAGCAGAAATTAAATTGAAATTCATAATCCAAACCCTTGTTATATGTGGAATCTCAGGGCCTATGTATATATACGTGTGTGTGTATATATATATAAATCCTAACCCTTGTTATACAGAAATCTCAGTGCTCTCAGTCTGCACAAGCCAGATATTTTGAAACCCTGGTGACCCAAAGCAAACAAATAATCCCTCCTCCACCAAAAAACCTCCACAAACAAACAAAAAACCCAAACAAACACCCCCCAAACAAACAAACAACAAGAGCAACAAAAATTCCTCGTATTTTGCAGCAGTGTCACCTCCAGCGCTGGGGTAACAGTCAGATCAGCAGAGTTCTGTATTTGGTAATAGGGGGGAAAGAGAATCTTAAGCCGTATTTCCCCCTTTTGCTGTTTCAGCATGAATCACTAGCAAGCAAAGACGTCATTATCTCAGCTGTATGGTTAAATCTTAATGTGTCTGCTAAAAAGGCGTAACAGTACACTAGACATTGCTCATTTTGATGCAAAAAAAGCAAATCGGCATCTTTTGAAAAGCCACGTTCCCACAATGTAAAGCGATTTGTTACACAGGAAGGATGGTGCCAGTGTCTCTGTAAGGGCAGTGCTGCAAACCATTTTCTACTGTGCTGATCAGCAGCAAGTTTCCTCTGTCTTAAACTGCCCTGATATAGAGTATTTAACATAAATTAAGTACTTCAGCCTCCTTTTTTTTTGATGCCAGGGCCAGTCTCTGAGAGCCTTGAAGGATGATTCTCTGGAAGCTTTTTTTTTTTTGAAGCCATTAAGCTTTTTGTAAAACTTTGCATTGCAAATTAGGACAAGGCCGTTGCAGACCTGAAAGCCTGCACTATTTCATTTCAAAAAGTGTTAAATGAGAGTATTTCAAACATTTGTGAAATGAGATGCCGTTTCTGAGCTCCAGGCTTAGTTATTTCACAACCTCCTTCTGTAAAGTCTTAAACACGCTTGGAGAAGCCTTGGGAATTGGAACTTCTGTGGCAATCCACAGAACTGGAGAAATCAAATATGGCTGTATTTATCAATTTATTTTCCTCTACAGAGAAGTTTATTTATATTCAGATAGGCATAAAATTGGTGTATTGTGCTTATAAGCAGCAATGCATGTCTCAGGATAGGACTGTAGGATACAAATGTGGTATTTCATGTAGTGATTAATGACTGTAATGATGATTTAATCTCATTTGAGTGAGGATATGAGGGAAAGTGGAATGTGCATGTTTATTGGAAGTGGCATGACACATTTTGAAGAATTATAATGGAGATAATAAGACACTGGTGTCCAAAAGCACAGAGGTCTAGGGCTAATCAGTGCAAGAAATCTGCTTGATCTTGTGGGGTTGCCTTGAGTTGGACTATTTGAACATGCATCTGTCTGTGATTGAAGAGAAAAAACAGATACATCTGAGCAAGTTGTGCTCAGCTTCTGAGCTTTTTGGGTCTCTTGTATTGGGGGAAGTGGGGTTTTATGAGACATTTAATAAGTTTTTCCTTCTAACATTAACAATGGCTTAGATTTTTGAAGTGAGGAGAGAAAGAGTTCCTGAAATAGTCACCTGCAGATGTTGTGCATACCTTTGTTTCTCAGGGTGAATGTAGCAGTGTTTTCACTGCTGGTGGCTTTTTTGACTTCCTGCCTGTCCTGGGGTACTAAACAGTCTTCTCTAGGAAGAAGTCTTTATGTGTGACAACTCACAGAGAGCAAACCTGAGCTGCAGTTTTTATCTGCCTGTCCAGAAAAATGTAAAATTATAGAAAATATGTACACTTCAATTAGATGAAGTGTTTGGGAGCTAATCTTGGTGGGGTTTCCTCCTTTTTCAGCCACTAACACATCTTTCCTTGCCCCAAGTGAATGTAATTTCCAGCAATTTATTTCATCCAGCACATCCTTTAATCCTTTCTTCCCTTCTTTCCCTTCTCCTTTTCTCTCCCCTGTGATAAAACCAGGTATAGCCACAATCTAAAAGCAGCCCAGCAAGCAGAGAACAAGCTCTTGAAAAAACTTGAAAAATTAGGTTTATAAGTTGTAAAAGAATAATAATACAGTCTTGTGATTGTGATGGAGTAATTATTGGGAAAGAGTGCAAAGGCAAAAAAAAGGTTGAGACATCACTTGGAAGACACAAAGCTTTAATATTTTGGCTTTAAAAGGAGTTTCTGTGTGTAAGGCTTGAGATTTGCTATGGAATTCTTTCAGAACAAGTATTTAGTTTTAATTAGCAGGGTGGTATCTTGGTTAATGGCATTCCTTGAATTCTTCAGTGGCTGTGAAATGCTGAGGCCTTATTAAGGAAGAACACAGAGGAAAAAGGAGCCAGAGGAGATGAACACACTATCCCAATTTCCCAAATTGAATGTTCCAAGGATGGGTGTTCATGGTTTTCGACTTGAAAATGTACCGTTAATGGGAAGAGCACAGAGCGTGTCCATGGGAATGCAGTGGGGCATTCAGGGGTGTAGCAGATCCCAGCGTGGGGGGGTTCTGCCACCAGCACCACTCTGAGCTCTGTCACAGCTCTGCAGCTCCCTGGGCACGCTCCTGCTGCTCTGGGAATGCTTCTTATGGCATTGGCTTGGCTGCAACCGCTTCGTGCTTTTGTGAGTTTGTCAAAAAAATAAGGAGAAGATCAAAAAAATGAGTAGAAGATATTTCTAAGCCAACAAAAAGGTGCTGTGCTTGGAGAGGCAACAGTGATTCACCCCATACTTTGAACTGATTTAGCTGTTTAACAGTTCTTGTCCAACTACAGTCTTGGTTTGGAGAGTGGAGGATATTCAGGGTGAAGAGAGTCCTGGGAATACAGGGTGTAAATACCTTATCTGCTCTTTCTACATGAAATACATGGAGAACATACAATCAGCTCCGTGGAGTCAGAGTGGTGGCACCTCCAGATCAGTGTCCTGCCTCCAACAGTGGCCATGAGAGACCGAGGGAAAAGCAGAAATCCAGCAGTGTCCTTGGATATCCTAAAGGAGCCTACATTAAATATGCAAAATACCAAACCCCCTCTAATAGCCCTCCATAAATCTAAACCAACTCCGATGCTGAGCTGACTCCCAGTTACTGGTAATGCAAATATTGATAGAATTCAAAACTACAGGCTTCTGCAATTAACAGATTCACCTGATTAAATGAATAATAAATCATCTCATGTTACTCCTAACAGTAACACTTTCAGTATTTGCATATGGTGTGAATGAGGGTTGTCAAAGACATGCAAACTAGAGGTTGAGAAATCAAGTTTCTAGATAAATAGAGATTTTGAAATATAAAAGGCTATACAGACTTGGTCTTTGCTGACATCCAAACTGCATTTACACATTTTTCTGTTTAGTTCCCCCCCAAAAAAAAGCTTTTAGGGAAAACCTTTCCAAACAGTTCATAGAGAACTTCCAATATCACATTCCCTTAGTCCTCAGAAAAAGTTGTATCACTCCAGAGATCTAGTTCTTATGCTGTGTATACACTCAAAATACACACTGTAAACTGAATA